ATATGAAGGGGGGGGTTTTGTTTCCAACTAAGCTAGACATTCTTATGTTTCTTTTTTTGTTGTTTGACTCCAAATGAACCTGAACTTATAGATAATTTTGGTTGCAATAGGTGGTTTTAATAAAGAGGGAATTTTCATAATGTATTTGTATTTTGTTTATTTTTTATTTTTTATTTAATTTAAATTTAATAAAGTAAAATTAGATTTATGTAAATATAATTATAGTAAACTGTAATACAAATAGTAAATTCAGTGACCAAATCGTATAAATTTCGTGATAAAATCAGTGATCAAATCATGTAAATTCCATATGAATTCCGTGCAAATTCCGTATCCAAACCATATTTTTAGTGATACGGAATTGTGCATTTTTCCGTATCCTATTATGATACGTTATTTCTAAGGAAAAAAATCGTATAAAAACTTTATAAAAAACGTATCCCAATTTTTTTATAGGGATGGAAGAATTTAAAGATTTAGATATACAGCATATTGGCGGTAAATCACATTTTATTACCAGAACTTCGTTCAATATCTACACTAGATACTGGCCATATATATCTCAAAGCTAATAAACTAAGTTTTTATAGTCATAAAAGTATATTATCAGATAGAAGAGTGACGCTTAAAAAAGAAAGCATTAAAATGCTTAAATTTCTTTATTTCAATCCGAATGGTAATATTTACAAGTTAGTGAAATTTTTTTGTAAAGACGAAAATTGTAAAATAAATAAATAAAAAATCGATTCTGAATTATTTTAATGTTAATTCTGGCTGAAATTATGTTAATTTCGGCCAAAATTATAATCACGATTTTCGCACCATCACGACAACCCATTCTGGACACCCTAGACTGGCTTCAAGACTGTTTCCTGAATCGCAAATAAGTTTTCATTTTCGAATATTTAAAAAAAATTCAGCTTTTTTTTTATTAATTTGTTTTTTCTTTTCTGGCACCGGAATCCTAGATAGGTTTTCGAAACGTAGAGTCATCTGATATCACTTGACCTGTTTGAAGCTCTAGACGTGTGTCCAAAGGGATCAAGGAACCCAATTTCATAATGAACTATTGAATTCAGTGAACATAAACACTTACGAACAAACCATATTTGAAAAAATATTTGCTACCTTAAATTGGTTTATTTACTTTACTTTTCACTTTATTATTAATTTGATATTTATTTTTAGTCATGACAAATTTTTTTTTATTTTTTTCTATAATCTCTGGCGAAAAAAATCTTGATTGGGAACTAACAAGTCAAAATCTGAAAGAATGAACAGAAAATTAATTTTGTATTATAAGGATGTTCCATTAAGAAACTAGTACATATAGTTTAATATTAGAAATATCGATTATATAAAAGTAAATATGGTTTAAACCTTGATTTTTTTTTTTAATTCAAGAAGAGTAGAAATCATTGGCAGAAATACATTTATAGCTAGTATATGTAATAATAAAAAAACAAAGGGGACTAACTGTAAATCCACACTTGAACATTCATCCCGACACCAGCAAATTCCTGATGGCAGGACCTCACACTTCGAAAAAAGAGTACGACTTCCCTGATGAAGCTACGCCACCAAAAAAAGTCCAAAGCACTGGGTGAATTAAGGAATGAATAGGGACAAGTCCCTCTTCCCCGAAGGAGCTAAAGACAATCCTAAAAAAGAAAATTCTAATTAAGATCCGTATTTTGCTTTCGGCACGAGGCCGTCACTTGTCAATACTGTAATAAGTTGAATGGTTCACACTATTCTAAATGTTAATGATGTAGTAAAGGTGAAATATATTAACTACGTGTGTAATAGAAAAAAAAATATATGTGACTCTGAAATTATTGCTCAACAATTGTAAAAATAAGAGCGTCTCCCTTGGCTGAAGAGTCTTCTGGTTTAAAAAAATCAGTCGAAAGACGGAGTTTTTTATCTGGATGTATAAACCTGTGTAAGTCTAGGTTTTTATTGTTGTTGTATGCGGACGGGTTTTAACTGAAAGTTTTAGTATCGTCTGAGGTATCTCCTTTGTAGAAGTAATCGATCATGATCGCTTTTAATTTTTTTCTTTTTGAGTCTGTCACGACGTTCAGAGAACGACGTCATGTGTTTGTGATAAACGTTTTGGAAACGAGTGAGATCTTGCGTAAGATTCACGCATTGTTCTATTTTCTTAAGAGATGTAATGAGGAGTTTTGATTGATTAGTCTCGTCAATAAGACGTTGTTTGGTTGCTTCTTCTGCATCGTGGACTCGTTTGAGTCGTCTAACTTCTGTAAACCATCTGTTGCTACCCGGTATTATGAAGGTACGTTTCGTGCGAGTACTCTGTACGTATAGGGGACCATTAGGTATAAAAGGTAAAAGGTCATCTGGTATAGCAAAATCATATCCATGATTAAAAACAGGTGTTGTAGAAGGCGTTTGAAGAGGAACTTGATCATAAGTCGAAACCGAAGTTTTCGATGTAGCCGGTAGGCTAAATGAAGTTGTCAGTTGGTAAAAGAAATTTGTAATTATCTTCACAAGAATTTTTGATCGAATTTGTGATATCTCAAGTGTTTAATCGGTTTGTTAACTTGTGATTTTAAAAAAAGAAATCTATGTTTTTTTGGCGGTTGCGCATTTGTGTTCCATGTCCATGAGATCTGGATCTTTGATCATAGAGTGAGCGGAACGTAAGATGCGATCACAGCGCCGTTTGAAGCGGGCGCGTTGTCTCTTTGCGGTACGAGGGTTTGAACTATAATAATGACGAAACTTTCAAATTTTTTGCGATAAATATATCTTTTGTCGTGGTTGAAGAAGAATTGACGGCCATTGGCTTGATAGCTGACTGTATGTTTGAGGCGGTTTAAACCTTAATATTGATTGGGATTTTTCAACAAAGAGACGTATACGATCACGTGATATAGCTGATTACGAAATTTTTACGTAAGAAGATCACGTGTTGTACTTCATGTGCAACTTGTACGACAAACTTGCAAAGTTTTTCCGGATAAATTTTTGAATAAGAGAAAAAGAAATAAAAGAAATTAAAAATATTCTTAAAAATATATATAATTTATATTTTGAGATGAATAATATCGAAAATATATATATATATATATATATATATATATTTTTTAAAAAACTATTATTTTTATTTTTATCTTAAATATTTCACGCTAAAAAAATACCACTAAATTTTGACAAAATAAAAAAAAATTGGAATTTTTTTTTTTTTCTTTTGCGCTTGTTACTTTGTCTAATTTGTTTATATTCAGTTGATAAAAAAAAGGTTCATTTAGTCATGATGCATGTAAAAATGAATATATCAAATCCTGCAACAATCTTTCCTTTTTTAAAAAACCATTGATAAAATTTGATAAGTCCTTCCGTACAAATTCCGGATATAATATATACTATATAAATAAAAATTATTAATCTGTAATACTTTAATTGCATGTCTTTTTAAACAAGTTTTTTTTTTTTGAGACTCAATTTGGTTCACAAATATAATATGCATAATTTTTTTTTTTTACATCAGTCATTCAAAGTTAGTTGAAAAAAAAGGATAAGGATCATATTACTAATAAAAATCTTATTACTAATAGATTGTAAAACTATAAAAAAAAACATACTTTACTTTTTGTTATCAATCACTTTTTCTAATGGATTCTTCTTTTTTTTTAAAAGAATTCTGTAAATCATGTAACAATTGTAACATTACCTTATCTTTATCAAGAATTGGCGTTTTCCGTTCATTCGAGAACGTGTTTACCATAAATATAAAATAANAAAAAAAAAAAAAAAAAAAAAAAAAAAAAAAAAAAAAAAAAAAAAAAAAAAAAAAAAAAAAAAAAAAAAATTTTTTTTTAAAGTTACTCCTATCGCATTGATCATTTGATGCCATTAAATTACTCACTTGTATTACCGTTATTTATTAAAATTATTTACGTTCTTTCACATTAAAAAAACAATTTATTATATTTATTTATTGAATGTTTGGTATTTGTTCTCAAATTGTTCTCTTTCGATTGCCTTTTACAGAAATTTGTAGTGTCACGAAACAGGCAACAAAGTTATACAATGTTATACAATGAATCATCTAAATGGAATTAATTGGATCACTACTGCGGTGATTGAAGTTCATTCCAAAAAAATCCAGCCGATGTTTCCAGATTAGGATAAATTTTATAAAACATCGATTTAACCATATATGACTTTATATAAAATATACCAAAATTCCTATTCATTGAAGTTATTGTAAATAAAAAATGTAAATAAATAAACAGGATATTTTTTTTTATTCCCACCCATGATTAGTAAATAAACCTTAAGCGTCCCAATTAAAAAGGAAAATACGTACCTAATTGGTTTATTCTATGAAAAAGAAAAAATTAACAATTTATTACTTTTTATTAATAAAAACAAATATTCAATCAAAAATTAGAAATATTGATAACACTGCGAACTTTAATCTGATAAATTGTCGTGAAACATTAATTGCAGTTTAAACCATTGTCTGTTCTAATGACTTCGAAGAATAAAAGTGAAGAACAATAGGTTTCATTTTTGTCCTATCTTGATAAAATAATTTTCTTTGGTAGGATGTTCATGGATTGTAAAAGAAAAAAAATGAAAAACCTGCTGATAAATCATCGTAATACAGCTGGATACATCACCTGCTGGACACATTACCTGCAATTTAGAAAAAAAAAAATCTCACAAACAAGTTTTTTTGATAATAATGACACTATTTCGTATTCCCTTATCTCTTCTTATCTTTTTTATTAACCAAATTTATCATTTCATTAGATGTTTACAGGAGAAAAATTTGTTTCATATTAATTCATTCAATGATAAAATTGTTAAGTTTATTGTTGTAATCCTATAATACTCTATAATAGTGTTATTAAATTCAGATGAAATATTATAAGTATTTATCTATAAAAAAAAAGAATTGAATAAACTGCATGTCAATCAAAAAGTTATTTCAACTTTTCTTATAGATAATCTTACCGAATATAAATATTATAAGGATGTTGAAATAGTTATAGTAAATAGGCCTTATAAAAAGACTAAGGTATTTTTCCTCAAAAAATTCAAAAATTCAAAAAATCAGAATTATTTTCGCCCTACTTAATTCTATAAATTTTTTAAATCATCATGGAATCTTAGGGCAGTGACATTTATTATGTAATATCCATTTGTTATAAGTTTTAATATAAAATCTTATGTTCCATGATTATATATATTAAGACCTTTCTTTACTCCCCGCCCTAAAATATTACGTAATAAATGCCATTGCCCTTACTATTACGATTTTGAAGATTCCGAATATCAACAATTTCAACAACAATTTCAACAACTTCAACAACTTCAACAACTTCAACATCTTCAACAATTTCAACAATTTCAACTTTCGACATTATCAACAATGTCAACAATTTCAACAATTTCAATTTCAACTTTCGACATTATCAACAATGTCAACAATATCAACAACCTCAGCAACCTCATTTGTTACGGACAAAGTGACAAACCTTTTTTTCGACTCGGTCGTACGAAATCAATTAAGTAAATTTACAGTATAATTTTCACACTCATGATTTATTTCCAATTATGTCAATTTAACTTATTTTCGTGTCATTTTTCTTAATACTCCATTCATTAATATTATAGCGAAATTATTCTTAAAAAAATGCAAAGAAAAAGAATTAGCAGGTCTAATATTAATTCTAAAAGTACTGCCTCGCTCTCAACATCAGTTAGAAGGTTAACTTGCATTAAAACGTGATGAACTCAAAGACGAACAACTTTCAAATAAAGCAGCTGTTCAAGAAATTTTTTTCTAATAATGAGATCAATCAGGACTTTCGTTATACAAGAAACGTACAAAACCTATTTCTCCAGGTAAAAGCTCACAATAGGATGAAAAGCAACGACAAATGAAACGGACGCGTCAAAAATTTGGAAAATGTTGTCTGAAGAAGAAAAAAAAACAGTATAAATGCTTTTGATGGCCAAAAATTGGGCCAACCAGTTATTGATATTTTCTCGCATTTATATTAAAGATTTGCGAGATATAATCTCGTACATTCAATTTTTTTACAATTCGATCGACCATTACATGATTCTATCGATTATTTTTAATTTTAACAAGTAAACATTTAACATAACAGGGACCTTCTGATAATTAATAAAAAAAATATAAATCACAAATTAAATTATATATCTTTATTAAATAAATTGTTTAATACGTGTATCATGAATGCTAAAGCAACCACAGTTTAAGTTTATCTCAAATCTGCTTTTTTTTAAAAAGTTTTTTCGTTTTAATAAAAAAAATGAATTTTTTATTTATTTAATAAAATAATAAAAAAAAAACAATTCGTCAAGAACTTGTATTTACTATGTTACGTGTATTTTTAAACAAAAACTTCAGTTTAGGGTGCATACTATCACGTTTATTTAAAAAAATAATGCAATTTATTATTAAAAAAAAATTTTACTATGAATAGTATGATCCGAAATAATATAATAAAAAAATATATATAACTTATTAAAGCTTTCGTTCCTATAAAATTCAAGTTTTTAAATTCATTTTTTTAATTTTTTTCCCAAAATATAAAGTAAAGGTTTTTACCCTATAAAAAAGTTTGTGCTAAATTTGTGCCAAATGGGTTAATCATACGATATTTGTTTGGAATTTGTTCAATTTGTTCGAATTTTATATTATATTTTTAGTACAAATTTCGAATAAATGTTGTATGATTAGCCCGTTTTGGCACAAATTTAGCACAACCCTTTTTTATAGGGTTATTTTTCATCTGATCACGTATAAGAAATTAAAATTTTGTATCAGTTTACATATTATACAAATAAATACTATTTGGATAAAATTAATACATACCTATTAATTTTTTTATTTATTTTATTTCATTACAATCTGAAACAGATACATAAAATTTACACACTAACTATCTGACGTCACATATTCAACTAGTAATAGTGCACATCCCATAATAAAAGAAGGGTAAGAAGAAAAAAAATCTAAAGAAGAAAAAAGTAAAGTAAAATCTAAAGAAAAATCAAATAAATTTAACCTAGGTACATTATGTAAAAAATTAGAGCTAGCAAAATATATCCACATAGTGTCATCCGTCAGTATTTTGGCCGGCGTTAAGTATTGTAAGAGTTACGATAAAAATAATTGTAACGTTCTCGACGCGTGTTTTTTCGGTCGGAGATTGTTTGAATCGGTCGAATCTTGGTGCGATTTTTTGTTGTTTTGCGGGCTCGAAATTTCTTGAAAGAGTTTTCGTTAATATTGTAACGATATTTCCACTCCGCAAATATCTGTGCATATATCATAATGTAAATAATATACTAAATTATAAACGAAGATTAATAAAAGTTTTTTGAGAAGTTTGTCTGTGCTGATGGGCGGAAAGTGGCTATCAAGTCTTTTGGTATTAGGTTCAATAAAAAGGTGGTTAATGTCTTGTTTTCTATAATCGTAGAAATATCTATCTTAATGCATCCAATTAAAAAAGTTACAGCGATGAAAACTGTCTTCAGGGGTGAGAAAGGTCCAGAATAAATCTTTGTGTTTCTGGAAGATTGATATTGAACGTCCCGGAAAATTCCGGTTGAGAATGTCTAGTGTAGGAAGGTTTAAAGATGATGATTTCATTTTCCAACTTTCTAGTTTACTTAATAGTACGAGCGAACTCGGCGAAGTAGCTCGGTCAAAAGGATTATATAATATCCAGATGTGAGTGTAACGCCAGTCAGTATAATCGGCAATTGTTAATTCTTTGATCAACGCTAAAGATTTGTATGATAGGTGATGTTCAAAACGACGATAGTTAATGAGTTTCTTTAGGGTTTTGCAGATATTTCTGTCGATAGTAAATTCCTGATTGAATTCGAGCGTGCTTTTACTTTTTTCAGAGTAACCGTGAGATTTAAAGTTTTGATGACTTGTTTTATGCCAAATTAAAAGGTTGTTAATTTTCTGGAAACGTCTGTTTTTCAGAGAATTGAGCGGCGAGTAAAAGGTGTGGATAGTAGCTTGTGAGTCTGTAAATATTTCTTCTGTACTATTAGGAGGACAAATTAATAGTATAGAAAAGATCGCGAACGTTTCTGCTTTTGTGGAGTTAGCTCACTGCTCGAGAGATTCTTTGTGTGAAAGTGTGATGGTAGTCGATACATTCCTATAATTATTAATAGTAAAATTTCGTAATTAACTTTAGTTCATCACGTGATATAATTTAGAGAAATTTATTGGGTAAACACCACTCTGTTGAAACAATTTTTTTTAACCTTATATTGCCTTATTGTAAATAACAAAAAAAATTTGTTTATTGCAAATAAATTGTTACACAATTTTATAGTTTCTCTATAAAAATATTATCCAAACACTTGTTCAGTTTTTTGTTCGGAAAATCGACCCCGTTCCGAACATTTACTTGACATTTATTGAACATTTATCATGATATTGTACGCTTTTTATGTGGTCAAAAATTCTCAATCTCCGCATCTTGTATTAAATTGTAACAAATATTGTATAATAGCGTGCGAGTGTCCGGAAAATTTGACCCCATTCCGAATATTTATCGGACAAACATTTTTTATAGGGTTTTGTAAAACATCTAGCTACGCCAACTTCTAAACTCTAAAGGGTGTAGAGTTTTCTGAAAAATAAAAAATAAAAAATATGAAAATTACAATAAAAAAAATCAAAGTTCATGAGAATTTTAAATTAAATTTTGTGTTGATTGTCATTTATTTTGTCAAATAAATAAATAAAAAATTCTAACTTAAACAGTATATATATCTACCAAAAATACACTAACAATATAATCTATTATGACGCAATAAATAGTAAAGCAATATAATATAAAATAATATAAAATAGTATAATACAATAAAAATAATAAAATAAAAATCGTTTCATTGGTAATTAGTAATTACTTAAAACAAAAAAAAAATCATATGAAAAAATTAAAAAATAAAATAAAATAAATAAATTTTTTTTAGAAATAATTAAATCACCGTCACCTGTACTACCACGTTTAATGTACTATTTATATTGTATTCTTTGTATATTGTCGCACAGAACAATCCAATTTGGAAAATTTACCGGAGTTGATTCCGATTCCGATGTACATAAATAAATTATAATTTTCGTCTTCGTTGTTTTCGTTGTTTTCGTTTTTTTTTTTTTTTTTTTTGAATTTTTGAATAAAAATGTCCAAACTCGGCAAAGACATTCTTATCTTAATATTTGAAGAATTACAAGATAATTCAAAATCCTTTTTTCCATGTTTAATGGTTAATAGACTTTGGTGTGAAACAGCTGTTCCAATTTTATGGAGGGACCCTTGGTCTTATAGCGGTATCGATTATGGAAATAAAAGCTATTTATTTACCATTATTACCAACTATTTTTTTGATAATATTAAAAAATTTATAACAGAGGAAAGAATCCAATTGTCTTCAGTTTTAGTTAAATCCACCCTGTTTGATTATTTATCCTTCTGCAGAAGTATCAACGTAAATACTATAAATAGTATAATTTCTATTGGATCAACTTTAGCTTATAACCAATTTATTATGCAACAAGAATTTTATTATTTCTTTATAAAAAAATGTCCAAAGTTGAAATATTTGAATACGAAATCAATTAAGCATCAAATATTTTACTTTCCAGAAGCTAAGACTTGTCTTGGATCACTTTGTGAATTAGAATTTGATACATCTATTGATTCAACATACTTTTATGGATTATCACGTTTCTGTCAACGTATACAGAAACTCGTCATTATTAATAAGGACACAAAACTTAATCATGGGGTTGTTAAATTAATTGAAGTTCAGAAGAGCTTAAAGCATTTTGAGTGGAAAGATTGTTTTTATGGTGAATATTTTGCGAAAGATGATCCATACGAACAAATTCTTATTGTTCTGGAAAAGAAAGCAGGAAGTCTCAATTATCTAAGATTATCGTTCCAATATGTGTTAAATTATGAACATACATTATTGTTAGAGATACTTCCAAAATTTTATAAACTAAAGATATTAATAATTGATCACTATCTTCGTCTTAATAAAGAACAATTAGAACAATCAGAAAAATTGGAAAAGCAGCCCGAACTTGAAATCCTTAATGTAGAACGTAATAGATTAAATACAGTTTCTAATATAATTAAAAATAGTGGAGGGCGTCTCAAAAAAATTTTATTCAAACCTTATTCCACTTCCGACTTTGAAACTGCTGACGAGAACTTTAATGAAAGTTCTCTCAATTTTATTCGTATAGTTTATGAAAATTGTCCTTCAATAGAATATTTGTCAATTTTATTTTCACCAACAAAGGAAAATTTCACTGAACTCGAAAAATTACTAAAAAGATGCCAAA